CCCTCCCGCGCCTGGCCCCCTCGCCAGGGGAGGCTCCGCAGCACCGCCGCGCCCTGGGGTGCTCGGCCCACCCGCCGCTCCAGCGCCTGAAACTACAGCAGCGCTTCCCGGTGTTCCTTCCCTGTAGTGGAAAGGTCGAGGATTGATGGAGGTTTATTACAGACAGGGTGCCTTCCCCAGTGAAAGAGGCCCCATCTAGCCCGGAGCTGAAGTACCCCCGCCATGCGGTCTCTGCCGTGGGCTGGGGGCTGGTGCTGCGTGCCCGTGGGCTGGAGGTGCCTCCAAGCTCCGGACTGATCCCTGGAACAGCCAGCGGCTGTGAGGCATGTCATCGGAGAGCTGTAAAAGCTGGCCCTTGTCCATGCCCGCTTCACTGCCTTAATGCGATCCGACAGCAGGGCTGTGGAGTGCATCCTGCAGTTGTATGGGGACAGAGCTTTCCCAGAGTTCAGAAGACTCGGGGGAGAGCAGGAGCCATCTTTATAGACAGTCCTAGCAGTGACCTAGGAATTTCCATCTCATCGGTGCCCTGTGGGAACCACTGCATGATTGCTTTTTCCAGGGTTTTGTCAGCCCAGTTCTACGTGATGAAATCTGGCCTTGTTCTGTCCTTCTAAAGTTAGGATTGGTGGTCCCTGAATGAACCCTGCTCCTGAGAGTGGTTCTGCACCAAAAACATGCATGTTTTTTTGTTCTTCCTTTCCTAGGGTTGAGATGATTAAAAATCTTTGTCCTGTAAGGTGCTAGATACAGCTCATGACATGAAAAACTAACTCTTTCTTCCACAGCCCCGTGACCTTGTCAATGTTTGAGTGCTGGCTGTAGTTTTTCCTCCTGTCCATGTATACTAAAGACTGAAATTTATTTCACTTTCTCTCTGTATATTCTGTTTGTTGTTAGAAAATGAAGATGCGGCCCAAAAGATAGAGCCTGCAGAACAGCTGGTTGATTCTTTGGAGTCCAGTAATTCGCAGATTGGGTAGGAAAATCTTTTTGTGTGTTGTGGTCCAAATGCATGACCGTCTGTTTTGTTCCTGTGATCCTCTGTGTGTCAGTTGATTCTGTGCAGGTGAAGAGAAGGGAATGGAGACTGACTGAACTGGCTGCTTTGGGACAGTGTATACAGGAATTGATATAGGAGAGACTGTTCTTAGGTTTGAGGTTGTTTTTATGAAATGACAAAGTGTAGTCTATGGCTCATCTATTCAAATTACAGAATCATTCAGCTTGAAAGGAACCTTGCAAGGTTTTGCAGTCTGTTTTAAGAGCTAATAAACTTTCAGCAGGAAATTTTCTCTATCCTGTCTGAAGGATACTTTAATAATTAAGCATTCCCACTTTCTATAATTCTGGTGGAAGCTGAGCAAGAAAACACCTTTTACTGTTTTCTTGACAATGTTTGGGGTTTTTTTTCTTCGCTCTTTGTTTTCTTTGCTACTCCTTCATTAATGCTGCTGATCGACACTGTTACCAGATGTTTGGCTTGTTATTATCTGTTGAGCCTGAGGTGCCTGTGGCCAAATCATTGCATTGGTTGCAAGCACTAATAACGTATGCAGTGGAGTTTCATTTGCCATTGTACATTTGTTGCACAGGATACAGTTTGAGAAATGTGTGTTAATTACGTCAGACAGTAGATAAACCACAACCTCACTGAAAAAGAGGGGGAAAAAATTCCAGAAAAAAACCCCAACAAAGTGCTTAATAAAACAGCTGTTTAATGCCATCTTGTCTTGATGCTAATCACATCTGTATCAGCCTTCTTGACTCCAAACTTGTGTTCTTCTATCTCTTTATTATGTCATCTAATTTTCTTCAAAGAGATTAATACAGATAGTGAGTTAAATGGCCAAAGTAGGTGCTTGATACTTGTGGACATTACCTGATAAATTTGTGTAAGTTAGAGATCCTTTGAAAGGGAGAGGGTGGTCCAAAAGTCTTGTGTGAGGAGGAATTAGCTGAGCTCTGTCTTTGTAAATCTGCTTATAAAGCTTGTGCAGCGCTTCCTAATCTTTCAGTGAGACTCTTGGACTTCAGTGGTGTCTGGAGGAAAAAATTCTCAAGCTGATAGCTCCTGTTGATGGAGAGCCTTTTGAGCAGATGTGTGCATCTGTGGTAGCAAGTGACCAAATAGCCCTTCTAGGTGTGATCATGCAACTGCTAAGCTAAAAAGCAAATGGGCTGAAAAACAATGGCATAGAAGTTCAAATCTGTCATGGACTGCCAGAGAAATCATTACAGATCACAGTGAGAGTTCTTCCTTTAAAAAATAGTCCTCTCCAAGCGTCCCTTCTTTTCTTAAATTGTCCATCTGCTGCTATTTTGCATATCTGGTGTTCAGCTCATTTGAGTTGTTCTAACAGACCTTCTTAAATCACACTGTTGAGAGAATTTAATAAGAAATGGCTTTATTTCTGGATAAAATCTGTATGCCTGTAGGAATAAAACTTGGAAACAAAAGCCACATTTGCCCTGTTCTAGTCTTCTCTATGGGTGCAGCAAGGAATTTGTCTGAGTTGAGCTGTGTATGGGTTTTTTTAAATTATTTTTTTTAACTCTTCCACAATATACTGATAGTCTGCTCCATTGCTAATGAGAGTATTTCCCATTTCTGAAAGGAGCCATTTGAGGAAATGGACATATTTTCCATTACTGCTGTGTTCTCATGTTTCTGATCCTTTAGACCAATGCAGTTGACACTGGTTTTATAGTGCTCTGAGAAGGCTTTTCTTTCCAAAAAGGCAACTGTTTCTATTCCTATTAAAGACTAGGTTTCTTCTCATGGAAGTTTCACAAAGTATCGGAGAGTATGACAGGAAAGACTCTTTTGGCATCCAAGTACGTTTGGGATGATAACACTTTCCAGCTATAGGCAGTAGGCAGAATTTCTTTCATATAACTTAAAAGAAAACCCTCAACAGAGTTTTCTTTCTTGCCCATTTTTTTCCTGTTACATACCTTTCTTTTTGTTCTAACATGTCCATCTCCTCTTGGCACAGTGCAGTACTTGGACCTCTTTGCTATTATTGTGCTGCCATTGTATGTCTTGCAGCTTGCTTGTCTGTGCAGCATATCTGAATATGGCAGAGACACCTGGGTGTTCCCTGTATCTCTTGGGATTGCTAATGGGAAAGGCATTATGGGCCACTTAAATAGAGGGTGTTTTCAGGATGACTGTCAAAAGTGTCCTTTCACTGATCCAGTTGACCTCTGATGGAATATGCAGAAGTCGTGTAGCTGGCATAAAAGAAGTTGTCCTTACTTGAGCAGAAAAGTTGCTACTGATTTCTGCACTTAGTACAGTGCTGGTGAACTAGCATGCTGTGGGGTGAGTGCAGTGAATTGCTGCCGTCCACGGGACAGTAAATACGGAGTATCTCACTGAAGTTGCTCCCTCTGGTTCACGTGAAAGATAGTCATATAGGGATGAGGGCAGGACTGGGGTGCAAAGGGCTCTTTGTGCAGTTGGAAGGTGCTGACCACAGAAGATTGTTCCCTTCAGTCCATCTGAATTCGAGTTTCAAATTAGAGCAGTTCCTCTGCTGGCTGTGCCCTGGGTGCAGGTGCTGAATTGTAGTGCTCTTCTCATCTGAAAGGTCACGAATTGGGACACTCATGAGTGTGGGCACGACAGAGGATTCAAAGGAAGAAGCTGGGACTTTAGAGGACCAGGAAGTGACTGAACTAGAAGAGAAGCTGCCTGACCAAATTCAGTCCCTCAAAGAGGTAGGTGGGTGTTTCTTATGTCTGAAAGCAAGGACAGAGGTGGAGCAATAGTTCTTCCACCCTATTGCTGTGCTTATGGTTATGGGACTGGGGCTTTAAGGATTGCATTAGAACAAAGTAGTATTAACATAGATTCAGTTCCGGTTTTTTCTACACATTAGTGGGAGGTAAATGTGATAGATCTGATTTGCAAAATTCCACTTGTTTCTTTGGCTAGTCCTCGCTTCCTTGCAGTTTTTGGCTCACTAAGGCTTCAAGGTTATTCTCACCTTCTGCCTCTTCCCTGGGCCTTCTGGGATTTCCCTTCTTGCAGATTTATGGAAGGGGGATCTGAAAGTGACTCTGCTGTCTTTTGTTTCTTTTGGTGAGCAGCCAATTCATTTTCATTACAGGTACAGTTGGGAAAACCTGTGCAAATGGTACGCAATTCAGGAGCTGTGAGTTTGCATATATAAGGAGAGAGGGCTGGCCCTAGTGAACCAGATGGACTTTTAACTAGGACACAGCAAATGACAGTTCGATTACGTCTGTGGTCTAGATGCATGCAGAGCTCAAAGGCTCTCCCTAGAGAGATTGTGTCTTGGGAGTTCTTTCCAAGAGCAGTCTAAATCTGTATGGCTGTTGCTTTGTTGAGAGGTGGCAATGAACTCTGAGGGAGATGCAAAGATGTACCTGCGTAGGGAATCCTGGGAAGGGCCAAGGGGTGTGTAATTTGTGAGACAGATGCAGCATTTGACTTCAGACTTCATGACTTTGGTGCTGTGGAGGAAATAATGCAGAGAGGTGTCTCGGAGCCAGCCAGTTTTCTTTAACTACCAGAAGCTTCTGCAGGGTCTGACTTGGCTTCAGAAAGATGCCTGAATTACTAATGAGTTGGTTTAAATCCACCTGGGGACATTCTTACCATGATGGTCTTTGTGACAATGTTTCTTATGTGCTTTGTGCAGGAAGCTGTTGTTCGGATAGCCAACTATCATGTACCTCAAGGAGCAGGGGATATAGTCATGATTCAGTCAGATCACACTGGTGCTGTGGATATCCTTTCAGCTGAGCTGGAGACTGCAGACCTCCTTGGGGAGCAGAGGAAAGGTGAGTCTTGAAAGGAAAACTCTTGTTGGTGCCACTTTTTAAATGCCTGCCCTGGCTAGAGAAGAGCCAAGGCTGTCCTGGAGACACTGCTAATTCCTGCTAGAAGTTTGGGGTCCTGGCTATCGAGTGGGAAAACTTCACATCCAAGGTTTCTGGGAGCAGGCTCCAGAATGCAAAAGCCTCATCAGAAATAGCTTCACTGTTTTCAGATAAGAACATTTTGTCAGTAGCAAAGTCAGGTGAGCCCACAATCTTTTCCCTTGTCTCAGCTCAGCCTCCTCCTCTGGCTCCACCCACCATGTGGACCACTGAGAAGACTAAGGAATTCAAAGCTAAGATGGGAAAGGAGAAGAATGGCCGGATGGTGGTGAAGCGAGGAGAGGTGGTGACAGTCCGTGTGCCAACCCATCCTGATGGGAAATGCATTTGCTGGGAGTTTGCTACAGATGACTACGACATTGGGTTTGGAGTCTATTTTGACTGGACCACAGTTACTAGCACTGCCATTACTGTTCAGGTCAGCGAATCCAGCGATGAGGAGGATGAAGAGGAGGAGGAGGAAATTGAAGGTTAGTGCAGACCTTATAAGAGTTAATTTGTGGTACTTGTTTCCATGCTGCTGAGAGTGTCTGTCAGATGCTGTAATTTCCATTAACTTTGTTTAGTCAGCCCACTTGTTATCTCTGCAGACTTTTGGGTTCTTGGTTAGTCTGTGATGAGAAAGCATTTAGCCCTTCCTGCTTCAATGGCTGTCAATGGCTATCCTTCTCCAAGAGCGTTCTTAAAATTGGATGCATTGAAAAATAAAATCAGAATTCACTTGTTCAGCTTCTAGCTGATAAAAAGATTAGTGTCTAAAATTTTAACTAGACTGCTTTTCTTAGCCTCTCAATCAAAAAAATTTCTGGTGGTGAGCAGGAGTAAAACCATCTTGTTTCTGGGGGTTTTTTGTTTGGTTGGTTTTTTTTCCCCAGTATGCCCCAGTACACTACTGAGTGCATTTGAGAGGATTGCTCTCCATGTCTTTTTACTTGTGAAACACACAGGGATGTTGCCTGTTCTATGGCTTTGGTGTTTGTGTGATCAGTGTAGCTGGAGAGTTGAAATTAATTTTGCAGATTCTCCGACAAGGGGTACATTCCTATGTGAGGAATTCCTCTTGGAGAAGTGAATTGATAACCTAAACACAGAGAGGTTATAGCTAAGAGCTTTCCCACCTTTCTTTTGCTCCAAGTCTGTATCACTGGGTCACTGTTCTGTGTATAAAAGCAGTGGTCTAAAAGGGAAGTCCAGAGAGAGGAGACCAGGCTGGCAGGCAAGTGGATACTGTCCCATCAGTATTCCCAAGAGAACTGGTTCTCAGCATGTCCTTTGTCATGACAAGGAAAGCTGGACTTTGTGGGTATGATTTGCAGAAAGGTCTGAGCAGACACTATGGGTAATGCTGTCACAGTTAGCTTTCCATATATCTTCATGCCTCTGCCTTATCCTGGTCTTGTTGATTGTTTTCTGGATCACCTAGAGGCTTAATTGGCTCTGGCCTACTTGTCTCCTCTCTCCCATTCAGGACTCGCCCCTGTTGGTGATGTGGAAAGGGGCTCCAAAACCTACCTGCGGAACCGCTACGGCGAGATCATGCCTGTATATCGGAGGAACAGCCATCGGGAGGTGCAGGCAGGCAGCCATGAGTATCCAGGGGAGGGCATCTACCTGCTGAAATTTGATAACTCATACTCTCTCCTCCGCAATAAGACTCTGTTCTTTCATGTCTATTATACTAGCTGAAGAAATGGGAGGGAGCAAGAATGGCAGGCAGGCAGTGGTGAGTGTTGCAGGCTGCCCACCCAGCCCTCGTACTGCCTGATGGGCCCTGCTGTGTGACAGAACCAAGGCACAATTCTGCCGGCTCCTCTTCAGACGCTAACTGGTTTATCCCCGCACCCTCCTGCCCCGCTGTCCCAGTGGAGAAAGGTAGCTGTGACTGCCTGGTTATCCACAGGCAGCTGCTCTTTCTGTAAAACTTCTGGAGGTCTGCTCTGTGCAGGCATCGGGCTGGGCCTCCATGTCACAGCCGGTTAATGCCCCAGAGGACGGGTTTAGGTGGTCGTGGTTTCGATCGGTTGTGCTGGCATGAAGTGAAGTGAAAATATTCTTGAGCTGTTACTATTTTGTGAATAACTTTTCCGACTCTCCTGCTGCATCTGCATCGCTAGAGGGCAGCTGTCAGCTGCAGTGAGCCAGAAGCACAGCTGTGTCGCTTAGCCACTGATAATCTCATCACCTACCACCAGTACGTCACCAGCAGCCAGTGCTTCCTTCGCTCGTCTGGGTGGGGGTGCAGCTGGCCAGCGGCACCTGTGTTGCAGTGGCTAGGCCATATGACAGGCGGGCCCCAAATGGGCAGTCACGGCATGTGTCTGAACAGGGGGTGGGGGGAGGGTGCACACCTAGAAGTCCATAAGAAAATTTTCCTACAGATTAAGAATTGGATGTTATACCTGCTGACTGTAGAGATATGTAGATGATTAAAAGTTCAGTGACCACCAAAAGTTTTTTTTTTCCCTGTAAACCAGATGTGAAGCAGAAGAAATTACTCCTGTGCTGAATAAATACAAAAAGGTTGGAGTACAACCAATAAATACATGGGAAACGTTGGTTCACTGGTATTGCTGCCAGATGGATAATACCATATGTAGCAAGGAAGAGGCTCCCCTGAGAAGTTTAGTTGTCAGCTGCTATTGCTGTTGCAAAGGTATTGTTAGAAAAGAACATCTCTGCTCAGACACTCAAAATGTGTGGGATTTTAACCAATCCTTTCTGTGAACCAGAATCAGCAAGGCCATTGCTGACCCTGACCATGTGGTACAGGATGGAGTTCCTTGGCATGGTTTGGTGCCTATCAATGGCCATTAGTGATCACCTTCTGCTAAAGTACTGGCAGAGTTGAACAAGGATTAAGTTAATCCTTCAGAGGTGAATTTTAAATCATGTTTATCTATAACTGTTGTTTATTTTAATACTTTTAACTTGAAATCATTCTCTTTTCTAAGAATACTGCTGTATTTACATTTTGATACCTCTTTTCAGAGACACAAAATGGCTGTTAGCATGGTGATTCTAGCAGAGTTCTGAGTCCTATTTTTTAATCCTCCAGGTAAAGCACATCTACTTGGTCCGTTCCTTCTATTGAGAGGGAATGATGGACAAAATGCTTTTGGGGTTGTTGAAGCCAAAGATTTCACTCTCATAGGAGGGCCGCATATTTCCTATTAAGGCTATATTGTAGTGCTGTGCAATTTGCTCCATATTCAAGCTTTTCTTTTAACTATCTCTGCTTACTTATTCACTGTCCCAGAGCACTTAGTAGGTCAAAATGGTAAGAGAGAGGGAGAGCAGTCAGTCTACAGCAGAGCAGCCCAAGCTGGCAGCAGGAGGAGTGGAAATGCAAAGAACATTCATTGGAGTACAGTGGCTTTCTGAGTGAGCAGGTAGGGAGTAGAGTTGTTGCTGCTTTGGGCCCTGAGATGGGGAGAAAAATGCAGGCTTTTTCAAGAGAGAGGTGGAGTGTGTGTACCTGGGCAAGGCAAGAACTGCAAAGCTGCCTTATTCAAGCAGCGGCAACCACAGGACAAGCTTGTAGAGAGATGGAACAGTAGGGCTTGGTATCTGGCAGAGTAAGATGCTCCTTCATTTAGCAGCTTGGGGAGGACTATTCCCTCCTTTAGTCTCTCTTGGAGGAGTTGAAGAACCATCCTGTGGCCTTTGTAAAGCACTTGAATCAGGCCTGAGTAACTTGGATAAGATGCTCCATTTTTTTCATCCTTTGTCTATCAAGTTCCTAGACACTAAACAGAAGACAATAGAAAAGACCCTTCAGTCTGACCACAATGTCAGCCCTTCCCCACTCGATGACTGCCTTTGATCATTTGCTGTGAGATCTGCAGAACCCTGCGTGCACTTGCTGGTTAATGTATGATGCGCTGTCTGACACCCAGTCCACTTTTTAATTAGGATTTATTTATGATGAAGGGAACTGACCTGTATATATGTTAGTTAATTCCAGAAATACTGATCCACAGTTGCTCAGCTTATTGCAGGCTAGTGGATTATCTCCACTAAAAAACTTACCCTTACAGTGTGGCCTCTCTGTTGCTAACTTGCAGCTAATTCCCCCTCCTGTCTATCTGTTGCTCATATTAAGGTTCAAAATACATTTTGTCATGTAAGTTAATAATGCCTGCCTCTCACAACCAGTTTTGATCACTCATTGACGCAAATAGTATGTGCCAGTTTTCAAGCCATTAGTTAGTCATTTTAGTTAAGATAAATTGCACTGTAGATGGTAATCCTATAGCTCAGTTCTAGCTTTCTGAAATATGGACCAACCTTCTATAAGGCTCAGGTCACTTATTTGGAACTGTGCCTGTCTCCTAGTCTCATTGACTTAAGCCCAACAGCAGCGCTGAATATGGTAGGTCATCCCAATTCTGCATGTGCCTGGTCTGCAAATTCAGTGTGCCCATAGATAGGCCTGTGGCAGTGAAACCAAGAGTGTTCAGTGTGTGTCACTTCACTGCTTAAGTTTCCCAGAAGTATCTGGTATCTCTTATGAACAGAGGATAGTTTTAGGCACAGAATATTTCATCTGCAGGAAACAGAAGCTTTACGGTTTTACAGGATAATTATTTTTGTTTATTTTTAATTTCCACATCACATGAGCATTTTGTTTCTCAGGTATTTAGATAGCATTCGTTATCCAAGTGACAACTTCTCTTTGGAAGGATATATAGTCTTAATACATTTTCTGATAAATCCAATGACTTGGCTGTGTGGCTAGTGATTAACAGCAGCTATTCCCATGCAAAATTGAACCCACAATTGGTTTACAGAAGTAATCTTTTTTTCTCATGCATTGTTTTTTTCACTTTGGTGTATTTCCTGGGTTTGTATCCAATCCTGCTATCTGGCTGAGGCAGTGATGGAAACCCTTATTTTAACTGGGGACCTTTGGAACCAGACCTTAGGTCTAGAAAGAAACATGAATTAAAAAGGCAGTTGCACTTCAGAGAGGGAACCCGGTCCTTAAGAAAGGAAAATGCCTTCTTTGTTTTTGTGGAAAGAAGATTTCAGATAGGTTTTTTAAATGTGTTTCATCTCCCTGCAAATTGTGTCTAGGAATTCAGAAAGCTAAATAATGGAAGAAGCTGCTTTTGCATTTTGGGTTTGCTTTTGTGAAAGCACAAACTTGTTTTCCATTTTGTTTTGAATATAATTTAGATCTAGAAATAAGATTTACATGTTCATCCAGAGATACAAGACAGTCCTGAAGTGCAGGACTTGTATAGAAATTAGCTTGTACAATTGTTTATTTATAATAATGGTAACAATCTGTTGGGCATTCTTTTTTATGTTAAAGAAGGTTATAAGCTCTCAATTTTTTATCTTTTTTTCCCCTTTAGGTGCAATGTAGCAGCAGGAGTTTAAAATGTATGTGTTTTACTGAGGACAGAGTTAAAATTGCTTAAATCAGGGACCACTTGTGCTGATCTAATTTATTCACTCTTTGAAGGCCTGTACTATGGATTCTTGTGAAAGGTTACTGGTGTCAAATATAGGCTAGTTGCCAATTAATGCTTGGGACCCACTTAATAGTTACGTAAATTATTATTGGTAATGACCTGTTTACACGAACAGGTAAGATGAAAATGCGTAAGAGCTTAGTTGTCTGACTTCAGGTGCTAAGAAGAAAGTCAAGTTACTATGCAACCGAGTCTAAAAGACAGCTACACACCTTTCATTTTGGTTCTGCCCTCTGCACTTGTTTCCTTGTAACTGTGTGTGCATGTAACCTTCATCTATGGCCTGCAGTGGGTCAGTTATTGTGGTGCTGGACCTGGTGAGGTGGGTTAGAGGTGAACCTTGTCACATGTCTATTTGCTGGAAGACTCATTCTTGTGGGGAACTATTGTAGAGAATGAATCCCTAAATGAGTTCACTTTTATCCCCACTGCTTATATCCTTCCTTCTTGTCTCACTACCCCTACTAGAGTCACTCTACAGAGGATTTATCACAAGGTGCCTTAGGAACAAGGACTATGTCTGAAATGGGAGCCATAGATGTCATTAACCTAAGGGAGTGCTCCTTGTTTCTCTGCCCATTGGGTAGAGGGGAGGCACTTCTTAAGATCAGGCAAGGGGAGGCCCTATAGGCTGTTCCTGGAGATTTAAGTTGTTCATTAGACTGCCTTGTTGCTGAAAGATGAGTAGCAGAATGGTGTTTTGAGTTTTCTGGCACCATAAGATCTTTACCTTTTAAAATCATATGCTGCTGTCAGATTGAGGAACACCAGAGGACTAGTCCTTTTGATACACTGATGCTAAACCTGAGGACCAGAGGAACACTAGATAGATGTAGAAGAGCATTCCTTGTGGCCATTCATTATTTTATCTAAAAAGTGTCTGAATCTGGTATTGTGAGTGGTGTGTGCTTATATGTATTGAGGCTGGATAAGAGACCAAAGCAACAAAGTTGTTGGTTTTTTTTTTTTTCTTTCATACTTGTAGATCAAAACTGTTTCTCCTTTTCTCACATCTGGGAAGATATTGGATGTGAGAGTGTCATGTAGATGTAGCAGAACATCTCAATCAGTAGAAGGGAAAACTGGGAACGGATACTGTTAAATATGTTGGCTAATTAGACTGTGAAACAAGCCAGGAGTTTATCAGGAGTCAGTGTGCTAAGTCGTTCATCTAAGTTGATTTGCAATAAATAACAATTAAATAAAGTTTTGGAAGGTACATAAAACTGCAGAGTTCAAATACGTCTTGCTAGAGGAGAATTTTGTGGGGGGTTATTCCACATTTGCCTCCAATGACTATGTGGCAACTTATTCTGAAACACTGGTGCCATTGCAGCTGAAGACACATCAGGCTGGGTGGATGGTGGGTCTGACTCCCCTTGGCTTTTCTGTGTTCTTTACTGGATTTTACATGTGGCTTGCTCAGAAGTGTCATCACAAGAAATGTACCCTTTATCACACAGAGAGAGATGAAGAATTTTATCATCCGTCAGTGAGGGTTATCTGGTTTAAGCCCATCTGGACTAGTGAGTCAAGGCCCTTGGGCAAGAAGCTGGACACTAACCATTAAGCTCAGAGCTAAGGAGGTTTTGCCAAGTAATGACCTTGAAGTTTAAGCGCTGCATTTAGGAATTATGAATAGCTGGAGATGGTCTCCCTGCAACCTCCAGGATGCCCTGGTGACTCTGCACTCCTCAGAGGAAAGCAGTCTGCTCTCAACTCCCTGCTCCAAGCTGCTAGCATAGTCTTTCACTGGGGAGCATCTTGTAGCTGGTCATACCTTTTTCAGACCTATATTCGTGTGAACTGTGATGGTTGTCTGTTAGTTCTTATCTATGTGATGTGAATATTTTTGATGTCCTGTGATTTCAAAATTGAGTTCTCGGCACCAACTGTTTGCTTTTCATGTCCTCCCAAGATATGAATTGTAAATGGACGAGAGGGTATCTTAACAAAATGTGGCACAGAACCTCTTGCTGAAGGGCACAAATGAAGACTATAGTGTGCTTTACACTCCTATGCTTGGTTTGTACTGTTTATATTTGATGTGTTGTGGATGATTTGTAATAGTATATTGGAACTTATTCCCTTTAAATAAACTTCTCACTATGCAACCAAGAATTTTGCCTTCTGTTCAAAGTGAGTGTCTTGATATGAAAAACTGAACTACAGACTTCCCAACAAAACAAGAATACAATTAAACTTAGTTTCATGTGCAAAGAAGAGGCAAATACTCAAAATGTACTTTGCAGTGTACTGGACAATCTGGTTGAAAATGGATACAAAAATGCTGTGTTGTCAGCTGGTGATGATGGTTCCATCCAGGAAGTTTTCTTTTGTTAAAATTACTTGCTGGGTTTTTTTTTTTTTAATTTTCTGCAACACTTGGTTATACTGAATGTCTGAAGAATTGGAGAGGAACAAGCAAGTATCCAAGCTCATTTCATGGATGGGGTAGGGTTGAATGCTTTATTCTCCGGTGCTTCATATAGGTACTTTTCACCTCCATTTTCAGAGATCCCCTACAGCTAGCTATTCCATTGCTTCATGTTTCAATCTGAAGGATTTAAAACCTTTCTTCAGTTACCAGATACTGATTAAATTACCTAGACAAAAGTGTTTGCCCTTCATAGCTCCTCATAGCTGCTTGCTTTATCTTTCCGTGAAGGCTGAACTATAGTAAATATATAGCCTGAAGAAAGCACTTGTGGGTCAAAAGGAGGAATGATACCTGCAGCCTGAGCTATCCTTCCTCACTTGTCATGTTATGAGGCTCAGCAGGACAAGTGCTTCAGAAGTGCAGTTGTCTCTGTTCTAGTCTTGTGTTTCCTTAGGCACTTTTATAAAATAATTGATGGGCAGGAGCCATCCTAAAGCAAGTTGATCAAAGGGATACATGACTCTGCCAAGTTGAAGATGTTTTAAGAAAGACCACTGAAGAGAAAGCACCACAGCTATTGATTACCATGTACTCACAGAATTAGAGAATTGTCTAGGTTGGAAAAGACCTTGAAGATCATCCAGTCCAACCATTGACCTAATATTGACAGTTCCCAACTAGCTCATATCCCTAAGCACTATGTTGACCCGACTCTTAAACACCTCCAGGGATGGGGACTCTATCACCTCCCTGGGCAGCCCATTCCAATGCCCAACAACCTGTTCTGTAAAGAAATGCTTCCTAATATCTAGTCTAAACCTTTCCTGGTGCAATTTGAGGCCATTACCTCTTGTCTTATCGCTGTTACTTGGTTAAAGAGACTCATCCCCAGCTCTCTGCAACCTCCTTTCAGGTAGCTGTAGAGGGCGATGAGGTCTCCCCTCAGCCTCCTCTTCTCCAGACTAAACCTCCCCAGTTCCCTCAGCCGCTCCTTGTACGACCTGTGCTCCAGACCCTGCACCAGCTTTGTTGCCCTTCTTTGGACACGCTCAAGTCATTTAATGTCCTTTTTGTAGTGAGGGTCTCCAAATTGAACACAGGAATCGAGGTGCAGCATCACCAGTGCTGAGTACAGGGGTCAGATCCCTTCCCTGTCCCTGCTGGCCACGCTATTGCTGACACAAGCCAGGATGCCATTGGCCTTCTTGGCCCCCTGGGCACACTGATGGCTCCTGTTCAGCCGGCTGTCAATCAACACCCCAGGTCTCTCTCTGACTGACATCTCTCCAGCCACTCCTCCCCAAGCCTGTAGCGCTGCTGGGGGTTGTTGTGGCCCAAGGGCAGCCCCCGGCATTTGGCCTTATGGAAACTCCTCCAGTTGGCCTCAGCCCATGGCTCCAGCCTGTCCAGGTCTCTCTGCAGAGTCTCACTACCCTCGAGCACATCAACACTCCCACCCAATACTCACTGTGAATCCCTGGGCTTGTGCTTGGCTCGGGCATATGGGCCAAGAAAAAAACTAAGTAAATTGGTGGGGATGCAGGGAGGTGATGTGAAATTTCGCAATGTTGGGTCTTTCCCATCCTTTCTGTAATTTGTGGACAAGCTGCAGCAGAAACACTCTGATCACGAGCTGCTCGGGGAAGGTATTGCAGCAGGCTTTGTTGGCCCCACCTGGGAAGTGACTCTTCCCTGTTTCAGCTGCATAGGGGGAAAGAATATGGTCATTTGGCTGCTGAAGCCCTGTCATTGCTCGTTTTAGTGGTGTTTGATTATCCACAGCAGTTTTGAGCTTAGCAGAGCTATTCATTGTTATACAGGTGGTATTGGATACACAGTGGAGTCTCTGTAGTAATGTTGTCGGAAAAGCGGATTTGTTACCCGGTGTGCGATAGGCGTGTGCAATCCCACGTTCAGGAGAGAAGTTGCTTATTTATTTTAGGGTTGCGCTAGTTTAGGTGCTTGGTGGTTTCCAACAGATCAAGCACACTAAGGGGACTTTTTCTGCTAAATTTATACACAAAACTTGCAGTTAGTAATTTTCATAGTCCATCCTCTCTATGATGATTGGTTAGTAATTTACATACAATTATAATACTGCTGACACAATACTTGGACTATGTGTGCTCAGGGGAGGAGCCTTCACCTGGGCAAGGGTCTTCTTGACCTATAGGCATGATTTTTAGCATAATAATGAGGGTAGTTCAGCTAAGGATACATGCTTGCCAAGTTGGCAATCTACCCTCTTCAAGGTCTAATTGCTCTGGGATGTCCTTGCCCAAAGGCAGCCATCTACTTGTTCTTCTGATTGGTGATGCCTTTGGCTTTAACATAGACAAAGAACATCTTGCTTGATTTAAGCAAAATATTGCTACATTGTTCTAAAAGTTTAACTTTCAACAGTAACACACAGATTTATCACCGGCTGAGGAGGACCTGCCACCATCCTGCCTTCTCTTGGTGGTAGCCCTGATAAAGTAAGAGAAGCAAGTTTCACACCTGTGCCTGTTTATGAAAGCTACAAGATACGTGCACAGTTACCATCGTTCGGGAATCGGCAAACTACCCTGCCCCGGGACGGGCTGTGTGGCTTGGGCTCTGGCCCTGAGTGTCATTCGCCACGGGCGCGAGGGAGGGCTTGGCATCGGGGTGGCCAGAGCTGCTGGCCTTCCTCTCCCCGCTTCCCCCGGGCCCCACCGGGTGCTGCCCGGGGAGGCGGCG